TGAATGAATACGTTTTGTTGAAAAAAGCCCTATTATGAGAAACAAGTTAACAAATATCCTATTCAACGCATTGACGTTTGTCTCTTCACCCTCGGGAGTGCTTTCTAAATTGCACAGTTGAATGACATCGTTGGGCATCATTCATATTATTCGAATGCAGATGAAGTAGATGAAGTATTTTGAAAATTTTGAGGCGAATTAACAATGTGAGATGAAATGTAATACCTTTCCCCTGGAGCAGAGAATGCGTTAGTCCTTATTTGTGATGTCGATGCGAAAGCACAGAATTTTGAAAAAAGGGTTTACCAATCTATGTTATACATGAGCGGTTATGTTGAATAAAAGAAACGTTTTAGGTGAAAGCTTAGATCGGCTGACAACACCGACATCATTTATCTGGTACCTAAAACATTGTGCTCTGTTGCCATTTGGCCGAAAAGACCAATAGTAACTGGGGTGTATATTTTGTGTTACTTGAAAACTTGTATAGAAGTGTGACAATACAGAACCTGGAGCATTCCATTTTGTGAAGTAATTTATTGAAACCAAACGTACTGCTTATTCTTTCGATGATAATCGAGAACTGAAACTAATGCAGAGGCTTCCGCACTAAGCAGATATCTACAGAATATTTTGTAACCTTCGTGCTCGCTTGTCCGCAGTAAATTCCTTGTGTCCCTTGTTGACGAGTCTTTTCCAAAACCAAGGCACTGCACCAGGGACGTCGGTTGAATACATGTTCGGTTAACCGGATTCCTGATCCTGGTTTTTGCTAGCAGTAGCACTGGAAATTTGGATCTGAACACACCTCTGATTATTGCGTAACTGACTTCTATCTCAGGAATGAAACAAATGCTTTCGCCGTTTTAAAGTTAGTGTTCGTCCTCACACTGACAGAATCACTCGTTCTGTTTTTGAAAATGCAAAGCTCAAACCGATGAATTCAGCCTGTTGACTTTTCGACAATAACAAAAATAAAACACTGATAATAAGGCCCATATTAACAATGACGTAGTACTCTTTCCATAAAATACTTGAATTTACGTTGACGTTAGTAGTAGTCATTGATGTTAATCACCCCTCACTTTTTCAGACTCGGCAAACCATCTTTCCTCAGTGTTTTGCCTAGACTTAACCCTGCCTATTGCACTAAATGTTTATTTGCATATTTTACATACATCGGCGATTACGGCGGCTGTGTCTACACCGCAACCACAGTCGAGGTTGACCAGCTATATGGTTCAGCTGCCAACGGGCAATTTTCTCGTGAGTTGTTCTCCACCTGCCTGTACCTTTTTGGTTGGTGCCGGAATTGGACACCAAATCGTGTTCGGTTTCCTTCCCCTAGTCCAACCCTGTCCTCCTCAGTGTCTGGTCAGACGGACTCTCAGTCTTTCCTTTTTTAACTGACGATACCAGTAGGGAGTACCACCTAACTTTTATTCTCTTTGACACCTGTATTTTGCTCCCCAAATTGAGCTCTAGAGCCCTAACAAACCATCACTCGGATCTTCCATCCACTTAGTCTGCATCTGGTTGCATCCGTGTTGCTTCAGACGATGCGACCATTCGCATGGTTGTCTGGCGCTATTCACAACAATCCCAGTGATCTGTTTGGTTTCGGTTAAATATCGACATCATGCAACCCATCGACATGTTGGAAGTAGGCCTCGAAAACACCTCTGAAAGTGGTCAACCAGAAGCCAACTCCTCCAAATTTCTGAACAAATTTGTCGCTGATTGCCAGTTAACCTTTAACCAAACTATTTCCACCGACTACCACCTAAGCTCACAGTCCCCAGTTTGTTTGGTTATTTTCTAATAGTCTTTCCTGATCGCTTCATGAAAAGTTACCTGCAGTCGGGTCACATCCTTTTCCGAAAATCATGCTGTCCATTTAATCTATTCCTTAATCTTCATATCCTTGATTCATTATCCTTATCCTCAACTTGGTAGGGTTTTATTTTACCCCTCACCCAGTGAACATGATCAACAGAAAGCTGTTCATTTCTTTGCCTTTACCATCTTTTGGAGGACCGCTACCCCCATCCCAAAGTCGGGGAGCAGCCGCCCTTTTTCCTACAGTTGTTAAACATCACCCTTATCTCATATTTCCATGTTGTCGGAAAACGGAGAGATTCGTGAACAACTGTTTTCAGTAAGTTTTCAACGGGAAATTACCGTTATCAATAAGAAAAATCGCAACATATCAGGGCGCGATAATAAGGTCTATGTTCTTCCCCGAAATTGGGTACATTATTAAGTCTGCAAAGGTCTATCGGTTGTGATTCCCGGTATTTAGCTATAATTTCTACTGAAAGCTCAAAAAACATCAAGCATGGAAATATACTGCGATATCTCGAATATCGCATCTGCTGAACTATGAGGCGACCCTTGCGCAGCCCATTCAGTTGGAAAAAAATATTAGTTCAGTTGGAACCACCTACCGGTACCTAGCTGCCATGCCACCCGAAGGAAGCACGAGAGCTGGGATACTGCCAGGTTGTCCAAGCCTAGACAGGGCGAGTTGAGATGTGGAGGTCGGGTTAAGTTGAAGAATATCATAAACGAGAGATTCAGTTGAGTCTCTTGGAAAAGCCAAATCGATTTGCAAATGATGTATTTGCCGAAACCAACCATGCAAGTTTTCGAACCAACCGCACATGGGCCTAAAATAACCAGTGAAATCCACTGCGAGGATCGATGACCATTAAATCGGAACTTTCCAGCTGTCCACGAACAGTCCAACCAGAGCCAGGCGACGCCCAAAGTTGCAGATAAATCGGTTTAACCGGAGCGTGTCAGCACAGGTGACAAGTCCACGTAAAATGCTGTCACTGGAATTCTACGGCCGAAGTGAGCCATGACACGAGGCCGAGATACATCCAAACACATGGGGAATACAAGGAACGGACAGATGAGTACGCATATACCGTCATTTGATGTCCCGCTGATCAACAGGAGACAAGACTGATCTCCAACCGAATATAGTACGAAAACAAAGGAGAGTACATACCTCAAATTCGTATGTCTTACATGCGAGGCGAGCACGTTGAAAGTACTCAGGCAGCTCACGAGTGAGCCGTCTGAATTATCAGGTCTGAAAATGGAATGTTCATGATTTAACTGTGTGAATTGTTGGTGAACCAATCAAGCGAGAGTAAAGTAAATGCAAATTCCACAGGTCTCGCAACCACGTATAACAAATTGGACAGTTTGTGGATCGCTTGTCGCACTGAACAGTTGATCAAGAAGCCGGTCTTCTCACCGAGTGCCTAAAATAGCCAGCAGCCGGTTTAACCAAGAGTGATGACTGAAATCGACTGTGGGGCTGACTGTATAACAAAAACCAACTAAGCCTAATAAGGCTTCTATCCGTGAAGTCGTCACTTGGGAACCCAGTGAACATGCCCACACGACGTAGATCACATGACTGAACTATCGACCCAGCTATTATCCGTCCAAATGTGATTTAACTGCACTCTTGGACAGCCACTCGTCGCCGAACGGTATATTTTTTTAACTACAAGCGAAGAGGTCACGGGTACCAACATAACTGTGGCATCAACATCGTGCAGCACATTGCCAACATATGTCCGTGCAGCCAGGACACAGGACGAAAGACCAACCACACAGCTTCGAACAGAGCTGACCAACACTGAGGAAGAATTTCAGAGACCAGAAAAATGGTATAATGATATGCATATGATATGATACAAAGGATACCTTACTCTCAAGTCACGTCCACCACTAGAGGGACACCGGGAACACGACCAAGGAAGGTGACAGCTGAAGCGAGGACTTTCACAGCAAACGAGCAAAGGAGACGGAGGAGGCCACCTTGTCTGAAGGAAACCGTTCCCATTTTCTTCGCTTATCTGATCAAATTCTTCGTGTCGGAGAGAACAATATCCATAACTGTTTCCGTTGTTTTGAGAGGCAGGTGAGGCATTTCAGAAGAGTTAGCCTAACCTACCTTCTGTGCTCGATATGGGAGAGCGAAAGGGTACCACGGGACTGATACCTACGAGGAGTCATCCCACTTTTCGAGAAAGCAGACAGAAGCAGGTGTCGTAAACACAGACACCAAACCTAGGCACTGCTTTCAATTCGCTAACTTATCTCCGCAAGAGGTCTAAGTACACGCTCATCCTGGAGGTAGTAAAGACATACCATCAACTATCTCGAATGCCTCCGGAGTCAAGTGTGGTCAACCTTATGAAAGGACATTCAATGGCTGCACTAAATAGGTGACATCCTATCTGAAATCGAGCATCATGATGAGAGCGTCCCTCTGTTATTCATCCTCGATGCAATCGACCTTCAGAAATAACTACCTTTAGGGAAAACGCTTTGCAGTCTAGAAGGGTAGTCACATGTGTGGAGACTACTGGTACCTCTATGTGGCACGCTACTTGACCGATACTGTCAATTTCGTAAATTCAGGAAGTAACCCTTCCGTTTCAAACCGCGTTCGTGCCCCTCCCTCGAACGTGGTTTCGCAAAGGTGTCGGTCTGCCTATCGATGTATCATGTGTAGTAAGTTTCCCCCTTCGCGAAGAAGCGACATGTGAGCTCTTGGTTTCCCATCACTGCTGCTTCCACCGGATGAGTTCTGTCCTTTAAATAGCTAGGATCAGAAACCCAATGGGGGTAAAAGTACACTTCGCAGAAGATTAAATGCTTACCTAACAACTGAGCAGATGAAGTTAATCTCAGAAACTACGTCACCTTATTCAGCTGTCATAACGAACGCTGTTTTAGCAAAGCTCCGATCAAAGGGAATAGAGGAGTGACAACATGGCTGATAACATGGCTGTAAAAATTAAATGATCAAGCAAAGCTCCGATCAAAGGGAATAGAGGAAAGACAACATGGCTGTAAAAATTAAATGATGGACCTCTCCTAGGCAGCCCTGCACTGCAGACTTGGTCCTATCCAGTAGAGATAAATGTTTTTTTATTCGAATCTTCCATTTTTTTTCATCCTCGTTTATCCAGCTCACCGACAGCATAGGCATCACAATCACTAAAAATGACTACGATGGCAACCTTCTTGTTATGGCCGTGAGACAACGGCTGGGATTCGTTCCGGGTGGAACGGGCAGCTAGAAAGAGCTAGTATGGCAGATAGATGTTCGTATCCAACATCTGGAAGTGTAACATTTTGTCTGAAGAAATTCTTTGGACCGTTTGCTTGTCCTTCAGGGACAGGGGCACCGCAAGCATTTAAAATCAACCACTCCCAGGAGGCAACCGCTCAATGACACAACGCACCGATGGAAACCTGAGGACAACGGCATGAAAATGGCCCCATCAGCGGTCAGGTGAGATATGTCGTGGTCATGTTTGCATCCTTCCGATTTCATTGCCAGCATCTGTCACGACAAAATCCTTTATGAACACAGGGTTTCGGGATTCGAAAGGCTGAGACCAAGAAGATGGGTGACGGACGCCCTGGTAGTCAAGTGACCACTGCAGGGATATGAGAAACAATAGATTGGATAGCGATGGTTGATGTTCGTCTAAAAATGATGACATTCTGGTTCAACGTTGTCGATGACCACTGTACAATAATCCTGGCGATTTATAAACAAGGAAAAGCCTACCCGTTTCGGAGATGAGATTGCAACATCGAAGACAACGGCTTGAGGTGTAAGTGAGCTCGGATGAGTGAGTGGACGACACTTTCTCAATACTGTCCCTTCTTCAATATCGACCACAGTAATTGTGTTAGTCGTTTATGACAGAGTAGTCATGTTTCAGTTATGATGAGTGAGGTATCGATTGTGTGTGGAGCTAATATACGTACAACTGCTTCCTTTTCAGGCTACACAAACTGCAAATTGCTGTGTGTGAGCACATAGAAAGATTAGAATGAAATGAACCCAGAACACAGGTAATAAAGCACTAGCATTACGTACACCCCTTAACATACAGACGTGCTCTGTTCAGCCAGCGCCTACAGAACCTGTACCACCGAGTCAATCAGACAGCCTTATCACACCTCTCACTTGAACGTTCGAAGTAGGTGTCATTCGAATTCGACTGAACTGAAAGTCTAAACATTGAAGAAATCAAGATTCGGTTGCTAAAAGTAGTGCGTACATACAAGGCTTTAGGTTACACACACAATTATGAATAGGTGAAAAGAAGGGAGAATCACGGAGTTCCTACTGATAATCCATTCCTGATGCACTGAATCAATTGGTGTCAAGAGAAGGCTTCCAAAAACAGAGTTTCAGCAAAATACCTAAAGGAGAAAACAAAAGTTAATCTCCAACATAACATGGGAAGTTTGGTTCGTGCCAACAGTTGCCCTGAACTAATTGAGGATGCAGCTGCTGAAGAGTGATCACAAAGTAGGCAACCCAATAACCGAAAGAGAGTGAAAACCGACTGTTTATGAAATTCTGCGTCGGCCACCCTTCTGATAGGCAATTTATGTCAACATAACTCAGCATTGACGTAAGGTAAACAGGGTAACTAACACGTTTATCGTTCAACGGTGTTTTGAGAACTTTCATAACCATCGAGAAAACAAATGCTAGACTACCTAGGGAGTTCAGTAGGTATGTTTGCTATATATAGTTAACAAAGAAGTATGGAAGGGCGAGCTCATTGAATTCACTATGCTGAATGCGACAAGATGAGGACGGCTCGGAAAATAAACTTTATTCCCATTGTTGGGTCTGTGCCATACATGGAGCATCTGCGGTCAGTGAGATTGCGCACCCACCATTAAACGCATTGTTCACCTTGCAAATGCGGGTTTCAATTAGACTGTTGCTGCATACTATTGATCTATCGTACTTGTTTGATAAGAATTGGGAAACAATTTCACCGTAGTGCATCCCTAAATTCAACGATAAAGTAACCCTGAAACAAAAATTCCCTCTAGGAAATTCTTACTATTGTTTGGCTAATTATGATAATACCAAAGACTCATTCCTGAAACGGACTCGATGAAGGCGTAAGAACGTCATCAATGTTCAAAACTCCAGATCTGTTTACGGCCCATTTACAAGAGTTGAGATCTAACGGAAGTCAACAGAGCTGACAGCTAGGGTCGGGAAGTAAAGTAAAAGGAACATCATACGCTGGAGATTCGGCAACGTTTCATCAAAGCCAAATTGATATGCAAATGAGTGTATTTTGCTAAAGAAAAAGGAACTCGAAAGAAAATAAACTGCATCTGGATCAACAAGACGGCGTGACAACTAGTGCGCTCTAATCGGTTCACAATGAAGCGATAGGACAAACTGCCATTCATTCGTCTCAAAATCTTTATTTAAAAATGTTTCCATGAGAAAGGGGCACCACGGTTTTTGGAGAATATAAGCATTGCAATGTGACTTATTGATGTGTTTGGACGGACTGCTTTAGTCAGAATAAAGCCACTTGGAAACACGTCTTGGATCAAGAAGTAAACTACTCGGGTTACAAAGAAACAGATCGTATCACCTCAGTGCTCAGATTCGTGCACTCCTTTCAAACCCATGTTAAACAGCACAGCATGAGAGGTAGAAACGTGTAATTATATTCAACTGTACAAGTAGTATACAACCACAATCGGTTCAATGCGGCTCACGTGAGCAGGTGTCGTAGTCAAGTTCCAAAACGAGGATACGTCTGACGGAAGACGCCTGTCCAACTAACGAGAGGTCACGCTCCACGTGAATCACAAGACCACGTGCGTCGTCCACTCTCTTGTATAACAAAGTTCTGGGATTGAAATGCATGTCCTAGATCGGAACAAATAAAAAGCACTATGAACTCGGTCAGGACATGTGTGAATCTGACCGGAGAACCATTGGAAAGTCAAAATATTACTGCAACTGAGAGTTGGACTTTTTTGTAAGCCGTTCCGAATGGAACATCGTTAATGGGCCAAACCAGACATATCACCATGTGATGCATGGTTACTTTTTTGCTACACACACACACGTGAATTGTAGGGGATGACTGAACCCATGAGTAAATCCGGTCTCACACACAAGACTGTCGCTGAGGGACAACGTAATTGTGAGTTCCCCACACAGGGAGTCGGAGAGACTTATTTAGGAAAGTTATTGTATTTTAAACCCACACAGCTGGTCGTAATTTTAAACCGTTCAAAACCCAACAGTTACCCAGACAGACAGCACCCGACCTCATTTTGGGCTATTTTCGATACAGCATAGGAATGACGGGAAATGATAGACTGCCAGTATGGTAATAAAAAACATAAAAACAACAACAAAGGAAGTACATAAAAAAACAACGGCTTATCAGTGGGTTTGATCCACCACACAACTTTGTAGGAGAGGATATTAACCAACGGAAATTTAATAGGAGTTGAGAGGGACTATAATTGTAAAGCTGAATAAGAGTTCCCCCGCAGCCTTATGAGTAGTGCGTTAGACTATATAAATCAGTGGGTTTGATCCACCATACAACTTTGTAGGAGAGGATATTAACCAACGGAAATTTAATAGGAGTTGAGAGGGACTATAATTGTAAAGCTGAATAAGAGTTCCCCCGCAGCCTTATGAGTAGTGCGTTACGACTATATAAACCTAAAAACCTTTCTTCTCAGTCTTCACTGTGTGTGTGTGTGTGGCAGTAGACTAAATTTAACATAACACCCAAAATGGTAAAGTACAAACCAGCTTCCCTTAAACGATATGACTAAGACTTTACAGCCTACTCGTCAACAATCACCAAGGTCCCTAGCCACGTCCGAGAAATACGAACAGGGGACCGCACCCCACGTTTTTTTAGTTGGGAAATAGCCGCTATCTCGCGCAGTGACGCAACGATTGTTCCAAAACCAACCCCTACACCGCTGAAACTACGGAGGGGGTAAATGATTCCATCGGGAGGCGAATATAGCCTAATAACACACGTGGTGCGGGAAACCACACTGTTGATCGAATACACGAAGGCGATAAGTGTCCCTCTGTTAGCAACGAAGCTCTAGAACACTGACTGGTTTCACTGCATGGTACGCAGATCCAAACAACACTTGGAGTTACTTGCGGTTGTTACTCTCACATGGATGCTGAGTCTAGCCAGCCAAATACACAGTAAGATTATGTTTGGTTTAGAGAAATGGCTACGTGGGAAACAGCTATGATACTCTAAAGAAGCACTTCTCATGGTCACAGTACGCTCAGTAAGCACGGTGTTAACATGGCTTTCATCTGGGAAAAACCAAACCCCCAAAATAAGTCGTGTATCACCCTTTAAAGCACTATTACACAAACTCGAATTCTGCATCAAGAACAATAAATAGTACGCATGAGGTCGTTGCATACCAAAAAATGGACGTCATTCTGTTCAAAAAAGAATGCCTGGAATGATAGGATAGATACAATGGCGCCACCGCTTTTGCGATGTACATTTTCATGCGATAAAGAGCGAAAAACGGGTAAATACCTTTGAGAATTCGTTAGCCGCCAGTCCCAGCAAAGCAAACATTCGCTTGGGTGACATCTGAAAAATGACAAGGTTCCGTCACATGATCGAAATGTCTGGCGTGTGGAAGCATAGCGCTCCCGGAAACACCACAATACAAACGTGTCAAATAGAAAAACAAAGGAAAGCAAGCGAGAGTAGCATGTAATATTCAAGTGAAGAAACCCGTAATACTCACGTTCAGATGTAACAGTGGTGTGTCGGAACTTATTTGAAACGGATCAGTCAGACCTTGAGACCGTTTGGTTCCCAGCTGTATACCGACTTCAACTTCAAAAAGTTGCAACGGCTCGTCAAGCACGTTGGAACAACTTCGACACCGTAGCGAGATTGGATCAGCTTCCTGTGACCTTTCGGTTCCGCACTGGATAGGTAGCAAGTCGGATGAGCAGCAGTGATTACACAGTGGCCAGGTATGGGACCGGCTTGTACTTACTCGATTGATGATACCTGGTAAACATAAAATAAATCACGAGTATACGGTAAGGAGACCAAAGAAGGTGGCGGGATACCTTTAATATTCTTGAAATAAAACTTTCTCGTCACACCGGCGTGTTCCGTGAAAATGTGTAGAACAGCGTGAATGAGAGCAAACAAACACCTGAGTCTTGAACACCTTCGCCTGTCAATGAAAGAAAGCTTAATCTACACATCACTGTCATTCGGCGTCAGTGCTTTCCGACGCTGGTTGGGTTGAGGTCACAGCGTGATTCGGATCATTGAAACGTGTGACAAAAATAGCTGGCCACTCGGAACATGATGTGAAGTTTCCCGTGTTAGTGCCCTGATGGGTTAGTAAGGCTGTAAATGACAACCAAATGAATGACACTATGCTCCGCCACTGAGACCGACGTGCTGATTGGTTGGTTCCACGACCCCAGTGCGTGCCAATGTGAATGCAACCCCTGGCAATTCTGAAAATCCACGCGATGCCTAATCACCATGACAGGAAAAAGCAACCGTATAGTCTCTCAGAAGCCTCTGAGTCTCTGTGGAGCAGACCGAACACGTCATTCGTTTCCCTCAACAAATATCCGAAGCTGCTTTGAAAATCATCCCGTAACTAGATGATCTCAGAGTGTATGCGTCAACATCAGGAAAGCGTCATCAGGAGATCACAGTTTATTGGGTTGGTGTAGGTTAACCACTGTGCAATCCTACTGACGTTGTCGTGGAAAACTGTCAAATAAGTCTAAGCAACCCATGCGTACCCAATAAATCAACATAACTTTTCAATTTGCAAGCAAAACCTGTCTGAGAGAAAGCAGAGAGTAGATGAGGTAGAATAGACAAATAGAAGAAATAGAATAGAGAGATAGAATACAGAATAGACGAAGTGTATCGTGCTAAGCCACAAAATCTCTGTTTTCTCGAGAAGATGAAAACCTTCGGCTCCCCTGTCATCAGGGATTGCTTATTTAAGCCACCAGGGTGGTCTAAGTTCGCCCGGCGCAATCAAGTTCTGTGAAAGTAAACTGCGCGACGGAAAAAAAGCCCCAACAGATCAGATGACTTGTCTGCCCCTTCAGGGTTTGCATTTTTGGTTCCTTCGTTCATGCAGCCAACATGAGAAAAGAGTAGGAGTCCTTCAACCGCCCTCTGAATGGTTGTGTAAGCAAAGATGAAGCGGAGGACCAGCATGTCGAAATAATCTTGACGACCGACAGCCTGTTACGACCAACACTGGAAGCTTGTCACTATCGGTTTCATGGTGACGCGAACCTTGAGGTCTTACATCCTCTGCAGGTGAATGATTGATCTCCAAAGTATACTCGAAAGGACCGTGTGAATATATAGAGGTTTCGGCGGCGTTAAACAGATTTCATGGCTTATACTAGGCCAGCACGCATGAAATCCCTTCGATAAATTTGTCAACGGCTTCACCTAGTGCACTGTATACCCTGCCACAAACTTAATAGTACAATACGACAAAACATAAGCCTCTAGTGAACTATTCATATGAACTTCATCCAGACCAGTATGTTCAACGACGAAACCGCAATTTCAATGCCAAGAAAGACGATCACTCAAATCTCGCTGTGAGTTACAGCGCTTTTGTGAAGAGTACGGTCTCCAACACCGATATCTCGTCGTGATGCACTCGCCTATTTCTAAACCACACAGAGGTCATTGGATGACACTGATCTTTGCGTACACATAGTGAATACGGAGATGGGACACCCGGCTTATTCCACTCTAAAAAGCACTCAATTTCTCAATTCATCTGCCTTGAAATTGAGCTGTCCGCTGCTTTTGGTTCGTAAAACTTAGACATTGTACTGCTTTTCTGAGCCACAGTCAATTTGCGTTAATCTTCCCCACGAAACAAGTGAACAACGAATCAGGGGCTCACAGGGTACGGAAATGAAACACATTGGCTGGGCCAATGAGGACCTTCCATAGGTAGCTCTCAAAAAGCCCGATCTTTTTTTCAATCCTGTCAGTCCTTTGGGTTGATTGCATTTCAGCGTTCGTTTATCCGACCTCAAAAATAGGCTATCATCTAGGACATCAACGCTCGGTACGTTTGGCGCACTTACCAGTGCCAAAGTTCCACTGGGACCTGGGATTTTCATTCACTCAAAGCGACTTCACGGCTTGTCAGTAACCTGCGCTTCTCATCGTCAACTGGGTTCGCGTTCGCAGACACTCACCGAACTTGCAGTCAGAGAATAGACCAAAAACAATGCCGCGCATCCGAGTTGTCTGCATTACGTGACACCGTTATCTACAAAGTCTCCCAGAGGAAGCCAGTCAGATAAATCGCGGTGGCCCCTCTTCTTTAGTTCACTTTCACCCAAATTCAATTAATTGAATTTTATGATATCAGGTCCTAAATCTGATTTTAAAGTTGGATTCGCTTTACTCCCCGTTCTGCTGCGGAAAGAACACTATCACGTATTTCGGTCTCTGAAGAATACTATATGGATCAGTTCGATATTAATGGATGTTCTTGATAGATATATGGCCCGAATGCACAGTGAACCTTGCTATAACCTGTGCCAAACATGATCTTGTTTGATAACCAACAGTTTGAACGTCTAAGGTTCGTTTAAAATCCAAACTCAGTTCTTCCAACTGTAGCAAGCTTTGACTATACTGTGCCTTGCTACACGGTATTACCGATGCCTCGACAACGATAATTTTGGTATGAACCTACAGCTCCTGATCGGCTGAAGCTTATATGTTTTATGCGTGCATCACGCCTATGCATCCAGTATGCCATTCGCGCTGCGCTTCAACTGACGATCCGTATGCTGGAAATCGCCATCTGATGATTGACAACGTCAGAAGACCTTCAGTATTACTCGTGGAACGCCCATTAAAATAGTACACCTACAAACTCCGAAACAGTCACAAAAATAAACCACAATAATTCAATACATATATCACCGAAGTGCAACGGAAAATTCAGCATGAAAGCAAACTACTGGTTAGTCTACTGACTGGTCAAACAATTAGGTAAAAAGCGAAAAGTGTTACATTTTCTGCTACCAAATGGACAGTATTTTTGGCGGACTTAGGTGTATGCAGCAAACTACTGTCAGTCAGCTCGGTTGAACAATTTGATACAAAAAAAGATAAGCACCGAATACCGCTTTCAAGTCCGGTTTTACGACCGCCACAAGCCTGTTGGTGGACGACAGGAATTACGTGTACTAAATGCTGACAAGAAGGTTGGCTGCACGTATGAATCGTGCGTGGCTTTGATTCTCCGCATCGGTGGGGGGACATGTAACCGTTAAACCGGTTGGTGGTTGAGTCGACAGGGTGAGGCCGATTAAATAGATATAATTGGGGAAAGTGAGACAATATTGGAGTATCTAGACGTGAACTAAAGGAGAGATTTAGCTGGATTTAGTTGGGTCTCCTGTTAGAAGAAATCAGTGTGTAAATGAGTGTTTGGCTAATCTATTCCGAATTCAGGCAGGCAACAATCTGTCATTCCCAGTGAGCACAAGGATAGAAGCACAACGATGAATGCCGCATGCAGGGCAGGGACGAACCTTCAAAGCGAATAAATTGATGAGGACTCAGTTGCCTCAGCTGATCCACCGAATCTAATCTCACATATCCGGGAGTAAGCAGCAACTCATCCGCGCGTGTAGACCATCGGCTCGTTCCGACTCTCCGCGTTCGAACATCAACATGAAGCTTTGTGAAATGATCAACGAACACGCAACCTGGAAGAAAGACATGTAGAAAGATGGACGAGGTGGAGTGATTGGCGAACCGAAGTAGAAACAAAATAGATGGGTTGTTTGCTTGGCTGACTACTCGTTCCTTAACGAATGAGTAGTGACAAGCGTTTGCAAAGCAAAGCAACAAATAGGACCAATGAAGCATAAACATTAATTGGTATTGGTGTTGGGAAGAGATTGACAGCGAGAAGAGATAGTAAGAATCATACAGAAAAGAAGGGATCAAATAAGGCAATCGGATAAATAAGAAAAGAACGGAATATTACATTGAGTGGATTACCTACCTATCTTACGCACAGACTAACAGCAGATGAAAACAACTCTACGAAAGCAATCTTATGCAACATCGGAATCTGTGGGTGACTGATAAAAGCTGACAACGGGCTGTCCCCTGGATTTCGGAATGCGGCTGATTTCCTTGTATTGGATAGCGTAATTAAGCTCAGTAAGAATAGATTATCTTATTGTAGCTGATGAATAACCGCAAAACGATGCACGTGAGCAGTACGAAAACATATATCAAGGCGTGGTGAGATGCAGTCAACAGAAATCTAAGTGCCTTGAACAGATTGTTCTGCAAGATGCTCCAAGATGCTCCACACACATAGTCACTTGGTCACAATCAACAACGCAGTTGACAGGCGTTTCCTTCTCTTTGGGATCCAAGGGAATTTCTCGCGTCATGGTATGATCCATAGAGTAACGAGCTCTTAGAACTGCATTTCAACTGTTCAACCCAGTTCGTTTCCCATGAAACGTTCGAAGGATGTGGCGCTACCGTCACCAAACAGACTACTAAATCAAGTGCACCAAAAAATTTGGTAATTCAGTAAAACAGTGAGCTAGAATGTGGACATGCAGTGTAGTGGAACAATAATGAACACCCCGGGAAATTATAGGTTCACCATGGTTTTCACGATGCGCGCAGTCCTGATTAAGTGAATGAAAGGAATTCTAGTAGGTGGGCAACAAATACGGACAGGAAATTGACAGGTTGATTGGACATTTTAGGAAAAAGGTGAAGCAACGAGATTTCCAATGGGTGGAGATCCGAACTGCAGGATGGCTTCGATGTCAGACCGAAGCCAGCGATTTATGAGCTAAGGTTTGTGTATCATCGCAGTGTATTGATAAACTTGTCTGATCAAACCAATGTTGTCAGCTGGACATCAAATCGCGGATTCCATTCAGTATTGCTCACCCACTCAACGTACAGCTTGAGGAGGCAAACCGAGCCAGCATAGGACATCTATCGTTATTACTTTGACGGGAAATACATTTTTGTGTACCGATATCATACCAGTAATAACTGCATACATTTGGTCCATCCAAATTGGAGTTTTCATCGGGCACTGCTTCGCTGGTTATTTCAAATGATATGAGTCTCCATCCAAAATAAAAGGTGTTAGCCTAATACACTCCTCCCTTTTTTTGTACTTCAGAAATGGTGTGAATTTGACCACACCCGCAGTTCCGTTCTAGCAGTTACGTACACATCAAGTACTGTTCTCAGGTCCGATTCATACATAGTTCTATTTGCAGCAACACAAAAACATTCGCCGCTTGCAGTGTCACTTCCAAGCAGCACATCTCTCCGCCGTTGTTCTGAATTCCATTCTGCATTAACTTATCCGTATGCTTCAAATTTTTCCAGTGCTGCCATGTTACCTTCGTAGCACCTTGGCTTACAGAGAAACACAGCTTGCGACCCTCCAACGAAGGCAATTAGTGCGATACCCAGGTCACTTGCAAGCTGTCTGCATCCACCGTTTTTGTATCGTACTCTGTGGCAAAGGAAGGTAAAGAAGAACATTTGAATCGCACAATGCCAAAGCTAAGATGTGTTAATTGTTGAAGACTGGCGTGATTTCAGCACCATCAGTAAACCCCTGTTCAGTGCTCTGGTGAACAAACCTAGTAGTTTGAACCGAAGCGACTGCGTACATTGTTTATGGCCGACAAAATGAACTGAACTCGTCAAGCCGTGATTCCTTGGCGGCTACCGATGGAGTTCATGTTCAAGGAATGACCAGGCCAGACCAATAAATACACTTTTAAACATAATATCCATAATTTTGTGAAAGGAAGTGGTGTAGACGAAGTGTTATCACATCGAATAAGCAAATCTGGTAGATATTTCGTCGTGTAAATACAGCCAACCTATGCTGAAAAGCCCAGAAGCACTGTACAGCTGTTTCGTCCTTATTAGGAATCATCGACGAAGCCCATCCCAGGAACTCCAACGAGTCTCGAACGCGCGAACACGTTTGAACACGTAAACGGTTCAGTAAGGGTTGTTTGATCGGCGGTGTGACCAACTAGAAATTAGTCAGGATATAGCGCCGCTCATCCTTCGGTCACGGGATTCACATTACGTGGTCACGTACTGACTTCTTCGCGGGTCGTTACTCAGTGAAACTGAGTATGCATCTTTTCCAGTAACATTAGCAAAACGGTCCCTTCCTTCCCTGTGTAAATTGCTCTTCAAACGATCCCACGACCACCATGGTTTCTTTAAATACTGGAGACTTATTTCTCACTCCTTAATTCGTATCAGCGGTTATGCCAAGCACCCGGATCGCTTAGAAAGCCGCTTCATCGCACTCATGTTCCCAAGTATGGATCCTTTGCCCAACTCCATCAGAACTGCTTCTTAAAATCGAACCTTCTCCATTTACCGTTTTTCATTCAAGGGTGGGTTAAAGTAGCTGCTAACCGACCATGCTAAAATTGACAGAGGCTTCTAAGTTCAACTCAGGTCTAACTGGACTGAGCTCTCAACGGCTTCCTCTGTGACTTTGCAGACAAAATCCTAAATATCATCACCAAAGTTTATAAGAAGTTTCCTGGGAAGACACAGATCACAGTAATGTCGTAAAATGCTTCGACCTTAACAGTGCTTTACACACCCGAAACATGTATAAGATTCCGAGGGACCGTGAATTCGAAAGGAAAATCCGTGTATTCAGAAGCCATCTGGATTTTGGTGGGCAAGTTTCGATTCTAGGGAGGCAACACGGTTATGAGGAAATAACGGGTAGTCGTAGTAGCATTGCTCGTACTATATAAATCGTACTGAACAGCAAACGGCAAAGGACGATCTGTACCCAATAACATAGCACACACCCTGATGCAGGGAACACAAACGGTGAATGAAAAAAAAAAACTTCCACTATGCCAAACGTGTTTACACGTGGCATTGTTTCGGCGACGCGTTGTGTTATGGAAAAAACAAGTGGTATGAGTTCACCAAAATGCATCAATTAATTAAGTTTCACTGGAAGCAATCCTGAATGCCTAAAATATCCATAAATTGGTGTGTTTGTGTGCGGCCACATTTGTGCCAATCCTCATAGACTAAGCCGAAATTGCCATCACCAGGGCCTCTGGGATGAACGACAACCGCACAAATATCGCAAAGTAATGTCCCATAGGAATAAACAGTTTACTTGGTTAAAACAGTCAGTTAGTTGAACGGAAGCGGGCATGTCGAAAACACGGATGTGAGCAACAACAGCACCTCGCGTTGTTGATGTCTGCATGACTCTAATCATACAGACTCTAGTCATACATAGCTAATTGAGGAATTTCGCTGTAGAACACATTAGCCGACATTTGAATAGGCCTGCCGGATTGCATTTCGGTAGTGTAAAATGATACTCCTAGCAAACCGCTCAATTCATTTCTTGACGCTTGGGTGTGAGATTCTACCGGAACCGTTGCACTGTACAGTCAATGTAGAAACCCGTTTAACTATGGAAGGGACTGCCATCCAGCTGTTATCACTATTGCATCGCGCGCAGTTTGACTGTCGTCCATTTGGTGCCGCATTCCAGTTGACCATCCAATTTGTCTTTGGAATTAGGCAGCGGAACCGGAGAACTATAGAACTAACTGATGGTTGGATACAACCAGTGCAGCGTGCGATCTAAAGGCGGAAATCAACCCACCAAAATGAACGCTAGATGCAATACTGTCCATAGGGGAAATGATGAGGGGAAACTAGCGTTAACGCACTAGCTGAGCAGGTGATTTTTTAAGTGACGTGGTTGGCACATTGTGCATCAATCTAACACTACACAGAAAGACCTGTTACATAAATCTATCTAACTGATCAAAGGATGTCGTTTCCCGAATTTGAGGTACTTGAGCGAACGAGATGTACGTTATGTTACTTGCGGTTTTTAGTGTCTTCCATTCAGGTGCGTTGTTTTTGCACATGGTCAATTTACTCGAACCGGAATTTAATCTTGAATCGCAGCTAACCGTCTGACTTTGACATGAAGCAAACTTCACAGAAGGCTTGATGCGCAGCGTGATTGGCGACTGACCAATCAGCTACAGGACATCTGCTGGGACTAATGCGTCCTGCTATTCAGCTTAAAACGGGGATACAAGGCTTGTCTGCCCTCGGCAGTCTCTTTAGCTCGAGCTGCTGTGCGGTCCCGTGTTATGATGGCCTGTGAAAACCCCGGATAGATATTCATTCTCAAGAAAGATTCAAACCTAATTAGTGAGGGTGAGTCGCAGAGAGATCACATATATCCAACCTGAGACGGTACAAAGACCAGATCAAAGGTGTGCATCGTCAGACCCGCCTGAGTTTCCGGAACTTGTGAGAACCTGGCGCGAAGCAATCGGGGGCGTTCAATAGACTGGAGAAAGGTCGAGTGATTGGAGGATTGGCGTAGTATTACGTATTAGTAGTGGTAGTAGTATTACATAAAGAATTTTCCTCAATGACGATCAAAGTAAAACACAGTTGGTAGGTATTCCAATTCAGTTCAGAGTTCCGGAAAGCAATGATTTGTTTATTTGTGTCGCACCACCATATGTGCGAGATGGCGCTTAGCGCCTCGGTTGTTCAGACCAAAGAGGCGGGCTGGTTGGAGATAAGGGCTCCGTCAAGAGTGCCCAAATTCAGAAGCTAGGGTGACGCTCGGAACACGTGATCCAGTGACAGCCGGCGACTACGGCTCAGCCAACACACGTGTTGGTCCTAAGATCTCAAGAAATAGGATGGCAAACAAACCGAAAATCACGGCACTTCTATTATATATTTCACCATATGAACTTATGATCTCCTCGGATTCGAAACGTAGTCATAAATCCTATAAAACATCACTTTTTTTCAGTTTCATTCATTCGTCGATTGAACGCGAGCAGTCAGACCTAAAGTGCTTATTAGTTCCCATTGTTTGAACAAATTTCACGCTTTTTTGCTCGCAGTGGCCAAAGCAATCCCAACAGAATCCGGTGCACTTTCCCAAATACCAGCACCACAGTAGCCTTGGCGCAAAAACAATAAAAATGTACACTATTGCTTTAGTAACAACTTAAGGATAGTCAGGTCAGTAAGCTTGGTTAGCAGGACCACTCCACCCTAGAACGACTGCTAAGGTGCCCGCAGCAATGCACAGCCCATACTGGTCTTTGGGACTAATGAACCAATCAATTTAACATCTCTCCGTATAAAACGACAGAGCAAATCAAAATTACTGGTATAAGCCAGTATTGAGAAGCTACACGGAGACGATGTTCCGGGAAAGAACTCGGACCTCGCTTCGTTCCTGAAAGGTTTGGGTTCGGTGCGCCCACAAGCCTAATGGAATATCGCGTTACTGGTAACATCACTGCGGGCCTAACGAGAACATGCGATTCGCGGAATATGGCGACTGGATCCCCAACCGCATTGGATAGCGAATTTTAAGAACAAGTACAAGTGATAAACGATGAATACCGACCGAGTGAAGTATACGCCCGCCATAACAGTATCCTCAACTCCACAAAAACTCCAAAACCAGTCTCTGTACTGTATTTCTTGTTCCATTGCTGCTTCGCTATCCACCACCTGTCTATGAACTGGGCCTATCCTAGCATAGAGATCGTTCAGTGCGCGTTGGTGGCGTTTAACGAGAAACCATCGCTTCACCTATGCGAGCAACAAGACATCATCACGATGAAAATTTCAATTTTGCTAGATTTTCAATACACGTTTGTTGGATGGTTATTGAATCGACGGTAGTGGATTTGTCTACCAGTTTTTGAATGTGCGAAAACGTTTGAGTTTCCTAATGGCGAGGAACGTAACTGCTCATATGCAATTGGGTCTATTGCATTCAACTAGGTAAATGGTAATTCACACTTACTTTTGACACCAAAATGAAACACGAATATGATTGAAGTTCGTCAAATCACAAACACTTAATAACTTTTTCGTGTTTTACTTTTGGTTTTGTAGAGAACCAGCTGGTCTTATGCCATTAATTTCAGTACTTCGTGTAATAAAGAAACCAAGAATTCTAAATGTCCAGTAATCCGTACGGCACCACTGTCAACATTGATGTTTCTGTCCACGATGATAAATAGTCCAATATCTCAATCAAACCACCGATATTGACAGCAGAAAAACACTAGCAATCGTTCGAAAAAGTGAAACATGAAGTTGATGGGGTTGAAAAGACGAATAACTGTGAAAACTTTTGAAGGAATTGACAGCTTTTCTGGGGGTGTTTTACAGTGTTGAACGCGTTAATTTTCCATCCAAAGAAAGTAGTAATATGGGGACGTACGCTGCGGTGATTGGCACGCAAACGAGTGAATAAATTGTAATAATTACACCATTAGTCCAATGGACTACCTAGCTCAGTCGATCACTGGGTCGCATTCTGTTTAGATAACAGGGAGTTCGCAGCACCACTTTTACCAAATGTTGAGCAGTCCGGGCGATCACCATATTTTTGTAATCACCACGCTGACCGTTAGTGCGGACACTGCACACGGAACGTTGAGTTACAATGTTTGATCCTCGCAAAGAAACAAAATTCTCCAAACGTTGATGGACCACCGAAGTCCCTGGAACTTCACCTACCACCTGAAGGTGACGTAGAGTGTGAACTAGTAAAGGGTTAACTATCATGGCCCTTAAACACGAGTTTCGCACTTACAAACTGTCCCTTCCTGAGCGGCTGCCCTAGGCTGACATGCATATTTATTTACTCTCCTAGAACAATTTGTATGGAGAGAACAAGAACTCTGTTAAAGCACGCGCCTGAGCACAGACGGACAATAAACAGACATGGGTTTTGGTACATCTACTGCACCAACGACATCGAACGGATTTCGCAGCGGCGTCCTTACCAGGTTACCTCGAGATAATCGAGATTTTCCGCTGTGAGTCACATATACAAGCCAAGCTTCCGTACTCAGGGGTTTGTGCAAGCTTACCAATAAACATGGCCTATTCTGTTTTATTTAATACTTAACAGCGACCGACGGCCTTTTATCAAGCGAACTGCGTGCGATCCGTTAACCGGTACCTTAACACGAACACAAAACGACAGACAGACCGGATTTCCGAGACAAAGGATTGTACACGTAAAAGTAATGCTTTCCGTGTGACACTGGCACTGCCTTCTCCATTTCCACCTGATTTCTTCTGATTGGCTAACCACTTGCTTTGTTTACCTGGAAGCCATCAGAAAGCATGTATATAAGGTTCTGCTCACACGCTTGTCCTTGATTTCAGGTGTGAATGTAATTAGTGTTCTTTGGGAAGTGAGAGGTAAGGTCAACTCACAAAAAGAATGGGAGAATTCAAATGGGCATCACTCTCGTCCACAGTGAGCAAGGAAACCCGTCACTGTGTTATCCCAAAATACAAGGCAATATGGGTAAAAAACGAATGTGAAATGACGGCAAGGATACACGCAGGGTGATGTAATAAAGGAAACGTGTACCATGAGAATCACCAACCATCATGAAATTATTTTCATCAACATCATAGACAATATGACATCAGTGTTCAACAATGACGCCTGGCTGCCGTACAACCATGGTTTATTTGAAAGCCCCATTAATGAAAAGTGGACGGAGAAGGGACTTGGCGCTAGCTCATTACGCTGCATTAAAACTAACAGAAATCATTACTCACCGATGCCACTGACTGCATCATCGACAGTAATGGGATAGTTCCACAGTGTGGATGAGGAGAGAATATATTCTGACGTTGACCCGATTTTCTGTTGGTGGTGTAGAAGGTTCAGAGCCGATTGAACACCAGACAGACAGAAACAAGGTATAACGCGAGGCCCGGTGGCGAATTCAACAAGAACGTACATGACTCTCGTCACGTTGTTCTGGGCGTAAACTGAGCATATCGCTCCAGTTGTGTCAAATCGACAGGAACTTTGTTCAAGAGACTTGAGTGTATGTAATTCCTCGTCCTTTATAAGTGAACCTTCCGAGGTCTGGGAAACGAGTGACAAACAAAAAAGTACGGAACAGAAAGTATCGCCGGCAGAAACGGTATGCCTAGTTAGGAAAATTGCCTCGTAGCCCCAGAAATCGGTCAGCAAGATAAATAAATCCAGTTGCATTCGAAAGCCAATAGGACAATAAATTTCAATATTGTACGACCGAGTCCTGTATTCAATATTCACTTATAAAAATGACAGAACTCGACATGATTTTGTGGGTTTCATGTTATGACATGAATTAGATAGAAGTGACAACGACGAAAGTAGCTCGCTAACCTCACATATCAGAGTTCCTCGGATGTGACAGCGACTGAATGGCTTGAGTTCTTCCTAAATTAAAGGAGAACAACAAATTTAGACTAGGTATGGAGAAGCAATAAGCACGGACTTGTTTCAAGCATTCTAGATGGAATGTGACAGTATGAACCATAATTAGGTTTGGGTTCTGCCTAAAAACATGGACCCATTCCTGTTTCTTTTACATCTAGTTAAAGATAAGCACGTAGGCCAGGGATTGGACTGTATGAAACCGCTCATGCATGTTGTTGTCCAAAGTCCATCAAATCTGATGTAATGGCGAGTGTGATTTACAGGCCAGATCAACCGGGCACGGTTAAGTGATGTCCAACTACTAAGCGGAAGGTCGCGAGTTCACATCACCGTAGTTTTCCGGATGGGCATTGCTTGTAGTTCTCAACAATGATGAAATAGCCGCATAGGTCTTATTAGCTTTCAAGCGGCAAATGCTTCAGTTGTAGGAATAAACGCCAACCCAAACATGAGATTGGTTTCAGAACCCCGGAAGACAAAATTAGCCGTGGCTTGTTTCTACAACAAATCTGCCCAGCTACTTAAAGGAACAGGCTGTTTTAAGTGGGTAAGTTGACTCTCCATGAACACTCGGGTATTTATTCTGGCTCGCCACCGATAATCAAGACAGATTAGACAGGGAGTAAGACAGATTTGGAATAATAACCAGACCTTAATCGAGAAAGCTGACATCGTTTCCAGTCAAGCCCAGTGACACAATGCACTTCACGCGTTGATCTTTGACACACGCAAAACATGAGCAACACGGATTCAGATACTCCGGTATCAGGGGGTCCGTTCGGTAGAACTTTATATTTTCATGCTAATCAATACCACGCGTTCATCTTATTTCTAATTATCGTCCTTCGAAAAGCTAACCATCACGAAACGAATCACCACAAGAGATGGTACGTCGTGACAACCAGAAAAACTAGGAAGGGCATTAGGTCAGCAGCAGGTGGGCCCGTTCTAATGGTACAATTTCGAAATCACATTCTGCGGTGGAAAGAAATGACCACGAATTGAACAGCTGTAAAAAACGCCAGCGGTGTGAGCCAAATCACTGCGCTAATCCTGAAAGAATGCAAAACACTGAAAACCACATTCATGAAGGTTCCAAGTAACAAAGTCACGAGTTTCGGTTGCAGTGGGTCTATCACCAGTTTGACTACATCAAATCGGCTAGTTGAGAACAAAATCTAACAGTGTACACAAGAGCTGGATAGTCCAGCTTCGAAAAAACAGCGAGACTGAAACGTAACATTCCCGTGACAAATCGAAGACAGCATAAAGAAACACCAAGCATGTTTCACTACATCCTTCTAGGCATGTGCTACAGAATAGTGTAGAAAAAATGGAAAAGAACGTGGATCCTGACCAATGAAACGTTGCAATCAAGTCCACTGACAAGGAAGTACCAAGCACATAACCTATTCTTCACTACAGTTCTGATCACCGCTTCACATGTTTTGGAGTACACAACTGCAGTACTGTCATGGCTATCCTTCGTGTTCACATTATCGATTCGTATTAACCGTGCATTCGCCCTTACTTTCAGCTTATGTACACCTATTCTTATACAAATAAAGTGCTATTCATTCAGTCAGGATCTACACTCCATCCACAACAAGCTACTTGTCTAGGAATACAACGGAACCCAAGTGTTTGGAAAAATACCATATTCCCCAGACGCCACTGCACCTTGGAATCATTGGTTCCGAACCTTCCGAACATTTCTGAACACTGTCGAATCACCTAACCTAAAAAACTAGAAACCTTGATGCATTTTTGGATGCACCTGTATATACTGACATCGCTGACTGTGCCAATATGGTGGGTGGTTCCCAAGTGATAGTCACAAAAATTCAAACCACAAAAGACACATGTTAGTGTTCTATGGTCGAGTCATTATTCGGTCCACATACCTAGACGCTTATCCGTTACCGCGATTAGATAAAATGATTGTAGAAACTTCTCGCTGTGTTCACCACCTCAGAATTACTGGGTGCTTAGCATCAAGTTTAAGTCAACTCGTCAACTCCATCATCCATATGAGGTTAAATCCCAACGACGAGTTGGCATGTTTGCTCATTATTCGCAATGAATACCCTACTTCTCTGACAAAATCAGTGTGCTTGTCAGAAACAGGACCTTCCCTTTACCGAAGCGCGTACAACAGTCCTTCGAAAATTTAAAGTTAAGGTTGGAGAGCGCTGTGGTCATGACAGTTGACTACAATGCACGCCCCAGTCAAAGCCATTGCTTCATCTTTGACTCAGAACTGCCGACCAGGGGCATTCTCTTCTAGAACACTAACGCCGAGCGAAAAGATTTACTCTGCTATTGAGAAAGAGGCACACACCATCGTTGAATCTGTCTGTAAATGGAGGCCATATCCCTTCAAGCTTATCAATCAGCGGCGATCGGTTTCCCTTATGTATGGTGTGTCGCAGAAAAGTAAGATAAAAAACGATAAAATCCAGCGACGGAAAGTGGAACTCTCCGCTTTTAGCTATGATGTCAGCTACTGACGGGGAAAAGACAACCTGGTGGATAACTTATGCACCAATGTGATCGACGTGATCGGTGATAAATTAATAGAAACTCATAATTCTTTGTGTCATTTCAGAAGTACCCACACGCACCACTTTATTCTTTCCAAAAACTCGCCGTTTCCCCTCCCAGGTGTACAAGACTTCACCTCAAAGTGCACGGTTTGTGCCGTCAAACTTCTATCTTACGAACCATGGCTATCCTTTGTGTTCACATTACCCCCTCGTATTAATCATGCTCTCGACTTTATTTTCAGCTTATGCGCGTCCATTGTTTGATAATTAAAACGCTATTCAGTCTACACTATTCAGTCTTATGCTGACGCTCAATGAAGATCTATACTCTATCCGTAACGAGTATCTAACCGTCCAAGACCCTGCATACGACCTAAAAACTGGTCACAGAATACGGTATTAATTTTCGAGTAAAAGAAGACCACAGATAAAGTCGGTATCAATCGCTTCTGGATATCAACTTGGACGGGACCAACCAATACGTCGATGCACCGAAATCCGGATGTATTGCGTGAGCCTATGTGTAAGCTACGGCTCAGTTCAGCCTAGGTGGGTGACTGAGTATACACACAGACTTGAAACCGCGCGTCAGGATTCAGTCGCAGATGCAGTGTGTTTAGCAGCTGGATACAAACGACCCTTCAACAACTCCATAGAATTTCAAGTTTGTGGACTGTAAAGATGCATCATTCCACACATAAGACACTGTGTCCACGAAATAAGCTGGGTATTAATTGGAGTGGAATATCTACTAAATGATGTTATGATTCGCATCAATGAAATGACCAGTGAACATCCTTCTTGCTCTGCCGTATACCGGTCTAGCTCATCTTCATTCGTAGTTCATTTGAAGGTAGTGATTGATCCAGGGGTATCTCGGACGCACTAACTCCCAAAGCATTCTGGTCTATTCCAGCCATCCCATATTACCCCCGAAAAGATTAGGCGAAATAAATTCGGTGTACCGAGAAACAGTAGTTCATTTCGCTGTGTTCCCTGTAACACAGCATAATCGATAGGAAAAAGATGCATTGGCACTGGAAATATACCTCCTAACACCAAAATTAAGTTTTGTAAACTCGTAGCCAACTAAAGTTCACAAGAAAGGCATTAGGACGTATGTGTGGGCCTTTCAAGGATTGATAACGGTACTTCGTTTTGAAGTAACGGTTCCAAGCTGCGCGTACGCGAACCCCGGACTTCCGACCTTGACAATCACCATGTGGCTACCTCTTCCTAGCTAGCTCAATGTAATGTCGCTCCAGGCTCGTTCTAATTGTATATATGAGATTTATTATTCATCCACTAATAGCCTTCGCATTTTGGCATCTGAATTACGTACCGCGTTATTCGCTAGTGTGTCACGTGTGGCACTCAAAATACACAGGACAAATTGGCCGTATTGTTGTTCAGTCATCGGAAGTTAGAATGTGCTCTGTTGTTCTGCGTCATTTCAGATGCACGAGATGTGTATCACGAAATGTTCTAAAAAGAATGAGGCTTTTACGAATTCTCGAATGTTTCGACGAGATCATCGTTTGAACAGTCCACTTCTTGCACTCATTCAACTATAGCTCTATTCAGCATACATTATTCCAGATACCTGAGTGAATTCCGTTTGAACAACTGATCATGCATATTTAACATTACGGGGACATAACAGAATGGGAAACGTGTAGCACTCCTGAAGAAAAAAACACAAGTATCGAGAATAATGATCTCTAGCATACAAGCAACATACGTGAAACGACACGAGTTTCGGCCAGATGAAATAGTTGGTTTCAACCAAATTGAATTTGGCGCTGCGTGCATCCCACAAACAGAAAGGCCCGAAAGATGAGGCATTCGGTTCCGCGAGTGCTCTTAACTTTGAGCAAAACTGCGTAAACTGAAGGAAGAGAGATAAGGTCGAAAAATGTGAAAATGAAGTGCGATGAAAGAAAGAGGAGCTTGTTGCTTAGTAGATTTCATGTTTTCCATTATGTATAAAACGATACCGGCCCACGATGCGGTTACTATAAATATATTTTTAAAAAGAAAAATGTTAGAACTGACCAGACTGCTAAACATGGACTACACCGTCAAACAGACGCTGAACAGATTCAGATACAACGACAGGAAGTATGACAGGATGAGGCTAGGATTTCTATACTTATGCTCAAGCACTGAATAGGTAAGAATAAAAGCCAAGCGCTTCATGCCATTGTTTTAAATGGATTAGTACAGTGGATGCTCGGTTTGAAGTTCTCTCATAATCCGCTGAACCCTGAGGAGGGTGGAAAACCGTAGAGATCCGAACAGATTGGTACTTTCATGCAATGACTGTAAAGCAGCGAGAATCTCTGGGGAGGGGGAACTGACAAATGATTATCCATCATAAGGTAACGAACCTAGCCAGCAGTCACGTGATTCGAATCATCCCATTGATGCCAATCTCTTCCCTCAAATTAAACCATAAGCAACAGTTTATCAGCACGTATGGGGAAGGACCAATCATAGTTCAACTACAAGATTGTTGAATAGTCTTCAAGAAGTAAAATGTCGTCCCAACATGTCATGAGTGGAAAAGGATCGGACGTCGACAGGAAATAACACTTGACTCTATGGACGTTGTGTTCGCAAAATCTGCTATTACCAGTGATACTTAGCCTCCGAGTGACCGGACTATTGAGGAACATACAGTTTCGATGTGAAGCGCGCGTACCGAGTCGACCCGTTAAACGATGCGGAAGCTTAACAGCAGTGGTTAAAAAGTAGAGAAGCTTCTTTGTATAATATCATTACTAGTGCCACAAAACAGAATAAGACTGAATCTACAAGATTCCGTCAAAGTGGAAGGCGTGACAGTAGTATTGTATTATTGATCGAACTGAGTGCAACGGAAAGAGAAGCCGACGGATGCAGAAAACTCTTATGTATATTTTGTTTTCAGGTACCAAATACCTAAGGAAAGCTTGGAAAGGAACGTATAAGACTTATTCTCATACAACGTTCGTTGTTCTTGGGTTGCTTCGAGAGCATGTCAACTCTAATCTCTCCAGATTTGCATAGATTCTCAAACTCGGTCGGGCAAACAAAGCTAAAATTTTACACGCTTGACTGAAATGTTTGTTCGGTTCAACCTAGGAGATTAGTTCATCAAAAAACGGGTTATTCCGAGAATTTAAGTAGTTAGTTCGGAGTTTCTCTGATGCTTCCGAAAAATTGGACAATTATAAAACCGTTGCATGGAATTTACTGCTTTGGTACAGCAGTACAACTTGACTATTACGTGAAAAGTAAAACTAACCGACTAAACGAAACTCGCAGTTGTGCGTTCAGCTGGATTCAACTGAATAGTTTACTTACAAACAAGGGTATTAAACAGGAGTCTTCAGATGCTGAAGTAGTATTAAATCCCTTGGAATAACACTGTCTATGAGAATACCCGACAGCGCACCACCCTTTCACCATTCTAGGCAATGGATTACCGACGAGTTTTTATCCATCTTATGAGCAGCGTTGTGTGAAGAAAAATGCCTCAATGTCGTAAATAGCATTCCAACGGAAACATTGGGCGGAGCTTGCAAAGCATAATCGAACACTGATTTGCCGTGTGAATGGATGTAGAATCCCAGTTGTATATTCTAACAGCCGACTAGTTAAAATTGAAAATGAAAATAAATGAATCAAAAGTTCTGCAAGATAAGACCATCAAACTCGAAAACCAATCAAACAATCAGTATGCTACAAACCTATTGTGGCATACTAGTCAAATGATTCGGTTCGTTCCTGATTTAGGGCCTGTAAGAAGTCGTACAGAAGTCGTAACAAGTCGTACAAACCTACAAAAGAATAGGCTGGAAGGCCAAAGGTAGCTCGAACCAACTCGTAAACAGCTGGTATCCAACCTCAGCAAATCATCTCGAACTGCCAGAAAAAAAACAATTCGTGAATCGTGTCCAGCTGATAAGCCCACTACAGAACGAGATGCCGATAAGTCTTCATCAACTTCAAACGCGGTAAACGACCAAACCCAACAGATTACGACACACGACTATTCGATGTCAGAAAAAAATATCGATAGCTGATTAGGGATCGGGGAAAGAGAGCTGATAAGTGAACATAAATGAGCATGGATGAAACACAATACTCACTTTCTGCAGGCAATCGGTAGGTAGACGGCGCTGAAGTTCAGATATTCGCTCTTTAGTAATATCCTGCAACCTAAAATAGCTCAAATCATTAAGCATCGGTCAAACGGATGACGTGGGGGTGTTACGAATATAGAGAGCTTGGGTACGCTGCTTGGCTGGTGGTCTGTTCGCCGAGCTTGACAGTTGGATTACAAGCGTTTCATCACCAGTCGCGGCGACACTGACGATGCCGTCTTGATGTTTCCAATCCTACCGCCAAGCTCGGCAAACAGACCAACATCCAAACAGATGACGTATCATACTGTTATGATAGTATGTCTAAATATGAGTAGCTCGGGTGAATCCATTGGCCACCGACCAATAGGCTCCTGATCAACAGCCAACCACCTAGATATCTACTAAAGTAAGTGGATCAATGCGCTCACGGAACGAACAAAACCAAACCATTAAAATAATTCCCACGTGTCCAAAAAGCGGACTAGTAATAAGACTCTCGTCAACCGTTAGCCGATTCATAGCTGAGTGGTTAGCAGTGACATGTTACAGAGGAAAATAAATGCTACTTGACATCACAGGTGACTTGTCTTTGCGAACTACACTCATTTGAACAGCAACTTTGTTTTAACGGGAGCCTCAACTAAAAAACAGTCGATATTCTCGCTTACGATATTATCCAAATGAATGTGCCTATGCAGGACAATCAGGCCGTCTAGTGTTTCACAAGATTGCTGAAAACCCTCTGACAGCCCAAAACCGGTTTCGACCTTCTTGAGGCTTATCAAGTAGGAAGAATTGCACAAACGAGAGGTTCGGCTGGAATCCAGTTGAGACTCCCATTCAAATGTGTAGTTAGCGAATTATTTGGGTTCAAATAGAACATAAGGTTGACAGAAACTCGAAAGTGTGTCCACCTAATAAATCCCAAGGGCGAAAAGGGGTCGTCTTCAGCAACGTTATGAGTAGTGCTCCTCAAAGAGTAAACATTTTATGCAGGCTTACAGTAAAGTTCTGTTGGTATTAGAAAAATACGCCTAGACCGCATTTGTTCTTTGTTGGTCTCTTCACTGAACCTACCCCTTGGTGAGCAAACGTTTCATCACTAATCGATCTGTCGGTGCGATAATGCATTAGTGATGGTATGCATCTGTTCTGTGTAATTTTTTTCTAAGAGGAGTGAGTCCCGATACGGAGGAGCTGTTTCGATGGTTAAAATAGTGGGTGTTTAAGTGGCCTTCGAGTGTGACTTATCTGATACACACCTTTGTTCGTTCGCTCATCCGGCTGCTCCTGTTGCCCGATCCCATAACCTGATGATCGACCTGAAATGTCCGATTGAGTTGGTGCCTGCTTGATCGTGAAGGTGCATAGATCGGGTTTAACGCCTGACTGGATTTGCCTTTTGTACCTCTACTGTCCAGAACTCTCAAGTTTTCTTTTTAATTGAGTGATGTACCGAGGAAAGTATGCAAATGGGTTACATGAGTTTACTACCAAAATGTCAACAATTGAGGATGCGGATAACCGCCGGTCATCGCGTGCATCGTGACATTCTTGGGTATGTGACGTTACACATTTTGTGTAAGTGCGGCTCGATCACATCAGTGGGTCCTAGTATCTATGGGACAGTTTCTGAGCCTTTCAGAAGGAGCAATCATAAAAGTCGAAAAGGTTATAGGGACGAGTTGTGCTATGAGAGAACGGATTGCTCATCTGTGTGACTGAGAGTATTGCAGCTTGAATGCCCCCCGACAAACCACGCACCAGTTACGCACTGAAAGGGCAAAAACTTCGGGGTGAATTTCTTTATCAAGGTGACAGCTGATAATGAGGCCGCCCATAACCTACTCAATCGCTGCCTGCATCAGTTGATCACTAGAAAGCCAGTGCATACCGTGGTGTAAGCAAAATCGAAAACTTTGTTCAGACTGCTCACCAGAAAGGATGGCCAGAAGGCAGACGGAATTCGGGAGATTGTGTTGCATGATGGGACTTATCGTTGCGAAATCATACAGAATACATGGTTAATAAGAAGTTCTAATTTCGCATGCGGCGCAAATTAACGCGTAAAATCCGTAACCCACCCATCAGGAACTTGACTCCCGGGAATTTGTAGCAGCCCAGTGGTTTCGTATAAACTCCCTACGTCGAAATGCGAAGGCTGATTTAAAGGAAGCGCTGGACTTGTCTTCGGCGACATCGGAAGTACGACCAGACCATAACCGGAAGAATAATGTATGCTTAAGAGGAAGTCTCTGAAAGGGAAAGAGGTGCAAAATACGATAGTCAACTAATGAACAAGAGTGAATCTGCTCGCAAAAGTCAACTGTGAGAATTCATAACACCCTGTAACCAACAAAAATGGGACGTGAAGTGATACCAAGATAAGAACAAGAAAGAATTAATCGAAAAACGTTTGAAACCTATTGAAAAGCTTGGTAACAATCAGTAAGTTTTTGCTAGGCAACGTTTCGCTTTTGACACAAAGGCTTCATCAGACCAAGTGACTAGGTTAAGAAGTTGGTCGAAATTTAAGTCGAAAGTAGAACCAGTCAGATAAGTCAAGCTAAATCAGTGTTAGGTGTTGGTCAAGGGATGGTGTGTTAGGGCGGGTCACCAAGTGTTAAGCCGATGGGGAAACCTACATGGATTTGGGTTCAGCTTAGGGTCTAGTTCCTCCGGTTCGGTTCACGTGATGACCTCTCTTGAACGTCGTTTTCACTTTCCATCTATTTGTGGGTAAGAAAGTGCTACGATAGTTGTGTAAGGAAGCGGGATTCTGTGAACTGTGATCGGGTGGGGTCTCCCCCTCCCCCCCTCCTGTTTTTGTTCTATGCGCATTAACAACCACACAGTCACGTGTCAACTCGGCTTATCATCGCTTTTCATACGCTCACCAGCTCCACATCTTTGATTGTGATGCTAGGTAATTTTCACCGCCTGGGCTATCAGCCGTTGTGGTGTGAACCGCAGTCCCCTCTACATTCTCTAGATCTATGCCCTGTGTCTAACGCATGTATCGCCATCGCTGAGTCTTTGACCAGTGTTTAGTATTGGATGGTTCGTTTATCCTCCTTTTGTGTTCACCAATTTGAATGTGCAATTACCTGGCAATTTGTCCTATGTAAACCTTAGTGATGGATTCACCTTCCGCCTCAAATCTCGACCAACCTCGTAAACTAGTCACTTAGCCTGACGAATCTTTTGTGTCAAAAGCGAAACGTTGCCCGAAAAGAAGAATTAGGCTGCTCTGATGCATTGCAAAGCAACCAGTAATTGCAACAAAGACGTTGTAAAGACGAACGAACGACAATACGTCTCTGTTCCAGTGTGTTGATGTTGACACCCTCCACAGACTTGAAAGGGTCGGGAAGCAAATGATTTGCAATTAGGTTCCCACGAGTTCGTGCGTTTATACAACGCACTGAAGCAACTAATTACACAGATTCATCTGAGGACAATGCAAAACAAAAAACATCCTCAAAGTGGAAAGAAAAACGAGAGAAAAAACTACTCACTGGAGAAAGTTGAGTTAGAGTGGCGGTTGCAAATATAGTTCATTGTCGTGACAACACGATGTGCACATCCAAGATGACTAAAAAACACATTGCCTCTGCAGTAAGGAGAAGTAGTCACACGGGCACCCGATTTCAGAAGGGGGGAAACCTACATGGATTTGGGTTCAGCTTAGGGTCTAGTTCCTCCGGTTCGGTTCACGTGATGACCTCTCTTGAACGTCGTTTTCACTTTCCATCTATTTGTGGGTAAGAAAGTGCTACGATAGTTGTGTAAGGAAGCGGGATTCTGTGAACTGTGATCGGGTGGGGTCTCCCCCTCCCCCCTCCTGTTTTTGTTCTATGCGCATTAACAACCACACAGTCACGTGTCAACTCGGCTTATCATCGCTTTTCATACGCTCACCAGCTCCACATCTTTGATTGTGATGCTAGGTAATTTTCACCGCCTGGGCTGTCAGCCGCTGTGGTGTGAACCGCAGTCCCCTCTACATTCTCTAGATCTATGCCCTGTGTCTAACGCATGTATCGCCATCGCTGAGTCTTTGACCAGTGTTTAGTATTGGATGGTTCGTTTATCCTCCTTTTGTGTTCACCAATTTGAATGTGCAATTACCTGGCAATTTGTCCTATGTAAACCTTAGTGATGGATTCACCTTCCGCCTCAAATCTCGACCAACCTCGTAAACTAGTCACTTAGCCTGACGAATCTTTTGTGTCAAAAGCGAAACGTTGCCCGAAAAGAAGAATTAGGCTGCTCTGATGCATTGCAAAGCAACCAGTAATTGCAACAAAGACGTTGTAAAGACGAACGAACGACAATACGTCTCTGTTCCAGTGTGTTGATGTTGACACCCTCCACAGACTTGAAAGGGTCGGGAAGCAAATGATTTGCAATTAGGTTCCCACGAGTTCGTGCGTTTATACAACGCACTGAAGCAACTAATTACACAGATTCATCTGAGGACAATGCAAAACAAAAAACATCCTCAAAGTGGAAAGAAAAACGAGAGAAAAAACTACTCACTGGAGAAAGTTGAGTTAGAGTGGCGGTTGCAAATATAGTTCATTGTCGTGACAACACGATGTGCACATCCAAGATGACTAAAAAACACATTGCCTCTGCAGTAAGGAGAAGTAGTCACACGGGCACCCGATTTCAGAAGGCATACCCCGTTTTGCACAGTGATCATCTGAGAACGACCTTATGCAAATAGCATTTACCCGGAAATGTTTTACCACCCAAACTGTCCAAACACGACAAATATCGTCTGCGCAGACCGTAGCTACCCCGTCGGCCAACTGTAAGATGAACATGGCAACTTTACGACTTGTGATTGGTGTATGGTGTGTAGTACAATAGCTCTAGTACGGTTAGATTAGGATTTGAATGCAACTGACGACGAATCATTTTCGATCCGGTGATCCGTGTAATCTCATCCACTCGAGGTTTTTTTGTCGTTCCAGTGCAGTTTCATCAGGTAGTCGTCGAAAAAATCGGTCAAGCAAATTCTGAGTTAGTTGTTAAATGACCAAGAGCTGTCATTGCGATGTGTTAGTTTGACTGAGCGTTCGCAATCCAAAGAGGGCCATGCGGTCGTGGTTATATTTGACATAGTGACACGCTTTCGAATAACGCGCTTGCATTGAGCGTGACTGGAGCGTGTCAGCTTTGAGTACAATAACGGCTGGTCTGATGACAGTCCATAAGTTTACAAGTGGGGAAACCCATTCCCGAAAACAAAGAAGTCATGCGGGTCAACACCACAAGCTATTAGGTGTGTTTCGCATAGAAAGAGAGGACACCTGTCACGAGCTGGCATATTGCTCACCTAAGCTTACTCGCCAGCCAAAATCGGTAAACGCCCAAAACCAACACAGGATTTTGTAATTGATCCAGGTCGAGGGGCTTTGAATAAACGTGTTCGATTTCCTCGTCACTCTCGCAAGCAGGCTAAAAGGCAAATGAGATAAAAGTAATGCTTTCAGCAAAATGAATGATAAACGTTTGGTTAAACGTTTCCGCAACTTAACATAACAGTAGCTGGTTTTACATACGAAGGTAGTTCAGACCGAATCATTGAGCATACTGATCTGAAAAATAACCGGCTAGAAAAACTCCGATTCATATCGGGATCATATAGCGAAGCTAAAAGCTACTCTAAACATCATGTTCAATCGTAGTAGCACTCACAACTGACGAAATTCACGATATGGTCGTTAATGGCGCTCTGGCAGTTCCAAAAATAATAACGTTAAGTCTCTACCAAACAAAGGAAGGCATCGGAAGCGTAAAGCTTCCATCCTTGTGTTAGTCGGGGGGACAAAAACGGACAACCACTGGTCAGAAGAACAATCGGAAGAACCTAGACTAAACACAACTGTTATAAGATTGTCGAGGGTGTGAGGAATGAATGTTGGGAATACTAGAAGTACTTTACAGCTGTTTTATTTCAATGGAGAATCACCAGTTATGCGCACCTCAAGAAATTCACAGGAGTTTCGAACTCGCGACCTATCGGTTAGTAGTTTGAACACTTGGCCGTTCGACCAGGAGCGGTCGGTCAGCATTGCCATCGACTCGCACTTGGACTGACGGGACTACTCGAAGGGGCATTTGCACTACCACAAAACTAGTGGAAAATATGCACACTATTATGGCACTGAATGCTAAAATCAATACGTTACCCCGACTTGCAATTCATCATGTTTACGTATTCCAAAATAGAAGGCAAAAGACTAGGAGCAGCTTGATGCGAATGCATCGGAGACAGGTCACTGGTGACTGGGTATACTAAGCAAACGTACCGAAATGCTATCGGAGCCGGCTGAAAGTAGCCCAATGAAGCCTTTCCAATCAAGTGCACCTCCGAAAAGTTTAGAACAGTGTTTTGGTCAAAACCCACCATATATCTGTGCTGGATTTATCATGAATCACCAGTCAAAGTCTACTCGAATAACACGCTTTTGCTGGTGTTAAGAATAGCCTACTCGAAATAGCGACAGTAGACCTAATGACCACGAAGACGGTGAAAGCATTCAGGGAGTCACGTCAGCGTTGAATATTGTAGAAGGTTACCGGTAGCCATGGGACACTCCCGCATTGCAGGACGCACTAGAAAAAGTGATGTCTAAAAGAGCAGACTCGCAAGGCAACTTGTATCTGGTTGTATCGTTCACTAGAGTTGAACGTAGTGGAAGTCCTCGGTTTCGGTTCAGGACATCTACACACTGGTGCGCAAAAACGAAAGCTCAGAGAAAACCGAGCTCACGTATGGAGAAATTCATGTCAGATGTTAGACCGAAAACAAACTTCCGTTATTTGAACGAATGTTACTGGGACTCGTGAGTTCAGATTGCTGGAGGCCTCCGTAAGAGGATATCCTTTTGATCCAGTTGATACGCACCATCCGCCTCAAGCACCACATGTGAAAGCTATTCAACCGATTATCACACTAGTTAGTCATCCAAAGTCGGGGAGCGACCGCTGCACCAAGTTCAGCTGGCCAGTGTCTTTTACAAACAGCGGTCTAAGCAATACTTGCCATCTGTTAACATGATCCCCAAAGTGGCAAAATAAGCATAGAAACTTGAAGGTAGGGAATACGGTTTTAATATCTGATTGTTTTCCCACGAGGATAGTGGCGGACTGTTGTTGTTATGGAGGCGGTCGTCGGATAGCGAATCAAACCGTTTAATAGCTGTAACGGCAAAGTCCAATTAGGCGTAGTAAAAACTACTTCATGAAAAAATTTCGTTCATTACCCAACTACTCATGCGCGGGGCGAGATGGTTACAGCGCGAATTTACTGACCGGAAGGTCCGTGGTTCCAACCCGAACTCTGCATCTCGACTACCCTTGTCTAGATTTAGGCAACTTCGTCCCAGCCCTGCCCTCGTGCAACCTTCGGGTGGCATAGCAGTTAGGCACCGAAAGAGTGTTACAACTGAACGATTATTATCAACTACTCATGCCTACACGGCGAACATCGCGTTACCGTAGTAGATCGAATCAAACAGCCGATCACAGCGACACCAAAAGGTGGAAACAGATTAGTTTGGGCACTACCTGAAGAACGCGCCAAACAATATCTATCAAAAACCAACCTAGAAACCAGAGAATCATCACCAGCTGCAACGCGCACTTGTAATACTGTGGTTACAGCTGCCATAACTTCGCTCATCGATGATTTGGGGAGGTGAGGTAGACAGCTGTGCATTGGAGAGGGTGGTTGATATAATTGGTGCATAAACACAGACCTCAGTGAATTGGTAATTGGAGAGATTGGGCAGAGGCTATGCACTGAAGGCAATAGCTTGGATGCATGAGCACCATTGAGGGCACGACTGAGCCATGTCTGACAGTCCCTCTAACCATTGATGCGATTAGTCTAGAGGTCCCATCCAGGGAGACGGCAATGACCAGCGCAGCTGGGTTTGTAGCTAATGGTCTTCATACTTTGCTTCCAAGTCATTCTTTGGCCTTCCCTGTCTCGTTTCCACTCTTTGCGTGGTTGCAAGAAAAGAGCATTTCGGGGAATTCGGTCGACTAGCATACGGAGCACGCGCCAAGCCAGCTTGTAATACTGTGGTTACAGCTGCCATAACTTCGCTCATCGATGATTTGGGGAGGTGAGGTAGACAGCTGTGCATTGGAGAGGGTGGTTGATATAATTGGTGCATAAACACAGACCTCAGTGAATTGGTAATTGGAGAGATTGGGCAGAGGCTATGCACTGAAGGCAATAGCTTGGATGCATGAGCACCATTGAGGGCACGACTGAGCCATGTCTGACAGTCCCTCTAACCATTGATGCGATTAGTCTAGAGGTCCCATCCAGGGAGACGGCAATGACCAGCGCAGCTGGGTTTGTAGCTAATGGTCTTCATACTTTGCTTCCAAGTCATTCTTTGGCCTTCCCTGTCTCGTTTCCACTCTTTGCGTGGTTGCAAGAAAAGAGCATTTCGGGGAATTCGGTCGACTAGCATACGGAGCACGCGGCCAAGCCAGCACAACCTATGGAGTGCGGACAGTTCATCTATCGGGCTAGACTTATTTCTTTCGAAAACCACTCAAAATAATTCAGCATTACTGAACCAGACAAACGAAATTTCGGTTCATTAACTCATTTTCAGCGAGGCCCGATTCGGACGGGAAATAGGAGTCAAATAACTAGTTATTTAACTAAGTAGGCCATGATAACTCGCTACACAGACATATAAATAATAAGGGAAGTTTGAAAATCGGCATACAAGGAACACCACAACTTCCTTAATATTGCTCATTACTGAACGCACATTACCCACGGTACGTGCCCCAAGTGGTGTACAAAAGGTTATTTTCTGCTACTAGGTAGAAATAAGTAGTTACTATGGAGTGGGAGTGACGCGGGTCTGGAGAACCTAAAGCGAATGCCAACTGCAGTATTATAAAGGCTTAAGGTGAAACCCCAAATATGATGTATGCAGTTGGTCGACGCAGTTGATTGACTTGATGACCATAGGATAATCGGTAATGATCGAAGTATGTTACGGTAAGCAACTCGCGTGGAAAACCTGGTGGGCTAAGAAACCCGTCACACAACCATGAGGTTTTGAAATATACCTATCAAAGATTGAGTGAATAACAAAAACAAAAATACATGTAACAAAATTACTCACCCGGAAGCGATTGGCGCAGTTATGGATGGCTGAACGCGTGCCTGGAATTAGACCAAGACATGAAACTGACATTAGACATACAAGAAAAATAGCACGCGCCAGGGGGTTCTTACTGACTGCGCCACTTTCTGTGCTGAGCCGAACGAATGAAAGGAGTAGTCACGATTCTCAGCTATACACGTGTGATCAAAATGTGAAAAAGCTAACTAACCATATGCCAAACAGGAGCAGGACAACTGAAGCGTGTCTGGTTCAGTAAGATTGGAGTTATTCGGAATAGTTTTTAACTTTGTCCATCCATGCAGGTCGCGGGGACGAACACGCTGAACCCAGAAGAACTGGTAGAGTACAGTTAGCTCTTCTTTTGTACGTCCAGGCAAAACTGACCTAGCGAAATATGAGGGCAAATAAGGGGACTGTCAGTCACATGGATGTCTTCAACACAATATAGAAATCCACATGCATAGCTCTATTGTCTCAAGACGTCGGAGCTAGTAAAGGCGACAAGAATACTTTTACTTCAAACCTGGATGACTCTTGGGAGGAAGTTGGAAAAAAGGCTGTCAGGAAAGAAGTTACTCAGAATCGACCTTGTGGAGGAAATCCACACACGGCGCAATATGCTCCTCTGTTTGACATAGGAAGTTGTTCTGCGCCAAGACTAATGCTCCCTGTTGCACTAGATTCAAAATAGATGAATAGGCCTGCCTCATGCCCGATCAAGTCACAGTCAGCCTAGTGAGTAGCTTTGAAGACAAAGATATCAGTCATGGGTTTTTGGTGAAGCAATATCTAAAGCATGTTGAGAAAACCGAAATGACAAAGACACTTTGCCTCAGGAAGAATTTGTCCAGAAAGTAGAACTGATCAGGCAAAACTAGTGCTAGGTTTGCTTGAAACCACTAAATTAAACCATACTCACAAAAACGCACAGTAGGTCTCCTAGATGCCCAACCAGTCTCCTTCATTATGGAGAACTAGATCAACACAGATAGTTGAATCCACAATATGTTCACACAAGGATTTTGTCAAAACTGATAATAAAATGGGCTAGTTCCAGCCCATCTACAACCGGAATCAATAAGCTGGAGAAGCATTCAGTAACAAGTGATCCGACAGATTTACTGTCCTCATCTCCTGGAATATGTAGGTGGAATGTTGAAAAAGGAGAGGTGGTGCTTCTCATAATAACCAGAAACAAAATAACAGGCGAAACACAGACGGACAGAAGGTTCAAACAACGTTCAAGAGGGACCATCAAATGAACCGAATCAGAAGAACTAGAACCTAGGCAGGACCGAAACACATGTGGGTTTCCCACCGACCCAACACTTGTTCAACCACTCTAACACACTAAAATCCCTCGGCCGACACCCAACACAGATTTAGCCTGAGGACAACTGAAGCGTGTCTGGTTCAGTAAGATTGGAGTTATTCGGAATAGTTTTTAACTTTGTCCATCCATGCAGGTCGCGGGGACGAACACGCTGAACCCAGAAGAACTGGTAGAGTACAGTTAGCTCTTCTTTTGTACGTCCAGGCAAAACTGACCTAGCGAAATATGAGGGCAAATAAGGGGACTGTCAGTCACATGGATGTCTTCAACACAATATAGAAATCCACATGCATAGCTCTATTGTCTCAAGACGTCGGAGCTAGTAAAGGCGACAAGAATACTTTTACTTCAAACCTGGATGACTCTTGGGAGGAAGTTGGAAAAAAGGCTGTCAGGAAAGAAGTTACTCAGAATCGACCTTGTGGAGGAAATCCACACACGGCGCAATATGCTCCTCTGTTTGACATAGGAAGTTGTTCTGCGCCAAGACTAATGCTCCCTGTTGCACTAGATTCAAAATAGATGAATAGGCCTGCCTCATGCCCGATCAAGTCACAGTCAGCCTAGTGAGTAGCTTTGAAGACAAAGATATCAGTCATGGGTTTTTGGTGAAGCAATATCTAAAGCATGTTGAGAAAACCGAAATGACAAAGACACTTTGCCTCAGGAAGAATTTGTCCAGAAAGTAGAACTGATCAGGCAAAACTAGTGCTAGGTTTGCTTGAAACCACTAAATTAAACCATACTCACAAAAACGCACAGTAGGTCTCCTAGATGCCCAACCAGTCTCCTTCATTATGGAGAACTAGATCAACACAGATAGTTGAATCCACAATATGTTCACACAAGGATTTTGTCAAAACTGATAATAAAATGGGCTAGTTCCAGCCCATCTACAACCGGAATCAATAAGCTGGAGAAGCATTCAGTAACAAGTGATCCGACAGATTTACTGTCCTCATCTCCTGGAATATGTAGGTGGAATGTTGAAAAAGGAGAGGTGGTGCTTCTCATAATAACCAGAAACAAAATAACAGGCGAAACACAGACGGACAGAAGGTTCAAACAACGTTCAAGAGGGACCATCAAATGAACCGAATCAGAAGAACTAGAACCTAGGCAGGACCGAAACACATGTGGGTTTCCCACCGACCCAACACTTGTTCAACCACTCTAACACACTAAAATCCCTCGGCCGACACCCAACACAGATTTAGCCTGAGTTAGCTGATTGGTTTTCCTTCCGCCTTAAATTTCAACCAACCTCGAAACCTAGTCACTTGGCCTGACGAAACTTTTGTGTCCAAAGCGAAACGTTTCCCAGCAATAAATCTACCGATTGTCACCAAACTTTGTCGAAAACAGGCGAAACACTTAATTTTATTATCACAGTAACTCAACAATATCAAAATATTGTAGTCTTTAGAGAGAACTTGAATATCACAACTCACCTTACTACGTACCAGAACCACTGCAACAATAAAATGACAACCCAATAGGTTAGCAGAACAACTAGGTTGTCACGAGCAATATCAGTACGTAAGTCCTGTAAAGCCACGGTGGCAGCTGGAAACTAGACCTGACGGTTGACAACAAAGTTTCGGAGAATTCAGTTCATTCGTAGTCCAGCAAGGAGGACTTACCAAGGCGAGAAGATACGTAGTACATCATCCAAATGGATAGTGTCCCCCAGAATTAATTGAGGGGACTGTTGAATACCCATGTGTTGTCCAGAGACAGGAAGCAGTAAAATCACGCCTGACTGGGAGTCCATTGCCGTCGTGTCAGGTTGTCCGGGTGGCTCTTGTTCTGGTGGGTGAAGTTCCAGGGCCCGAAAGGGAACCAAGCCAGGAACCCCCGACTTTTGACTTTGGTAGCATTCCACAACGCGAAATACCCGAGTGATTCTCTCTGATGTGTCTGTAACGCGGAGGAAAATGTCATGTGATTTGAACACAGTCCGTGTCTTGTTTGGAAGTTTACAAGAAAAGGCCTCCCAAAGATCAACGATCCGAAATAAAGAGGGTAGAAAGTGAGCAATGACAAAAAATTAACATGCCTGACCGTCTAACTAGCAAACTCGTGTACCAACTGACTAACTCAAAACCGTATGAGTCCTGAAGATCTAATCAACCAGTATTGCCTCATATGGTAAAAGATAGTCTGTTTGAGGGAGAAGAACCACAGGAAGTGAACAACTGAGGACAAACGCGCAATAAACGGGTTTTCACATTATCCACGCCGTTTAAAACAGAATCAGTGACTGGACACTATTGATCCTGGTTTCTGTCGCCAAGATCACGATGAAATTATCCAATTCGCGGTACTTTAAAAACATTTCCCTCAATACTGAGTTGTTTTAGTTTACGATGATGGGCGCCTAATTACCTAATTTCCGAGAACCATCATTATTAACTACTTACGTCCGGAACTAAAACACACGGTGACAATGACGCTAGTGGTAATAACAGCCGCCATTCTTACATACGTTGGGATTCATTTTGTCTGACCGGAAGTGTTGATGGCACGACTTGGAATGAGACGCTTCCCTCGTTCTATCTAATATTCTCTTTTAACCCTTCCACATCTATCACATGCACTTACTTTTTATGTTTCTGACCATGCTCCTCAAAAACAAACGATTATAGAAAACGAATCGGACGTGGCAAACTAACTAAAGGTGAACAAGATTGCACTTGTCACTGTAGCAATATGGATGGCGAACACATACGGATAGGTTGTGAGTGATTTCCGCGACGTACCAGAAGCTCATTGTCTAGTCGTGTGGGTAAAGCCACTTAGTTGTTGCATCCAGAACAGCCCAACCAGGGAAGGGAAATCAAATCAAAACAGTTGATGAAGCTTGTGCACTATCTTGAAACCAGTCTCACGGCGACCAGGGACATAAACAGGTCAAATATTCAAAGCTGAGAAAATAAAAAGCTGTATTGGCTAAAACCGGGACCCTCAGTGCGCCGTTAACGTTTGAATGGTCCACTTGAACATAACTAGCATCTACAGAAAACATGTTTCTTACTCGATGTGTTGTTCAGGGTACACTGATGAAGCCAAACAGAACGGTCAGAAAAACTTCGCCTGGTTAGCAAATGAAGTCTGTAGGCCAAACTATCTCTACAGAGAAGAAAAGAAGCAAGCATAAGGGGTCAAATATACCAGGCGAATATGACCGGATGTCAATCACTACCTATATTATTTTGGTAATTTCACAAGATAGAGCCTAGCGATACGGTGCATGGGAGACGGTTGCCAAGAGTGAAGCGAGAAATCCTCCAGTTAACTACATATATGCGCCACTTTTTTATTCTAGCGGCTGCGGGTGATCAGCTGCATCAGCGTGAATCTGAGCAGTTGTTTGGAGAACATAAAAGGACCTCTCAAGAGTGAACAACAACGATGCGCACAAAAAATAATTATCTGCTTGGATATAATAGAACGGTTCTTTTAAGGAACGGAACAGCCCGTTCACTTGGTTGTGGTTCGTTCACTTATTCTCGGTTCAACGTAGTATAATGAAAACTACAACGAAACTATCTGAGTTGTTCTACGTTCAATGACAGTGAATAGAGTTCCATCAGTTAAGATGCACCTGCCCCACAAAGTTGATTGAGACAAATGCTCCAGTGCGAAATGGTCAAAAGCGGCAAAATTGCATAAAAATCACACAAAAAACGATACAGACAGTATGTATCATGTTTTCTGCATCATCACAAGTCAAGTTCGCCTCTTGCGGATCGACCGCCTCTCCCCCGAAGTGAAATGTTTGCATCACCCTGGCTTTCCACCACGAAACACCGTTGGTAACCTAAACAATCACTGGTTAACTTTAAATTTGTATAAAACTGAGTGGTGATGCAACTGTATTCCTGTTGACCATATCACAAGGTTACATAGCCACGTGCGATGCAAGTTCAGAATTCAACAGATAACGACGAGCAATGATAAGGATTAGATGCATGGTGCAGCTTTCGACTTCTTGCTCGGCATATGAGCAACGGTCCAGTGATCCCACGGAGTTGGTGGTCAAGCTAATCTTAACGGGAGACTGTGTGGAAATCACTCTGGAACATACTATAACCTGCTTGTCAGGGTGAGATTAACTGCAGATCGATAAAACTAACCGAAAAAAAACTACCAAGTTGTTGAGTCTTACTAGCTCTCACAAACAATCCAACTATGCCAATCAAGATTGACCCTAAGGGTCAGGCTTAGTCCACCCGAAAACATTCACGATAAAATACCCTGCTGCTCATCGAGGCGTGTTACATTTGATTACACTGTCAGATCTTTAACGCTGCCAAAAAAATCTAATGTATTGGTGGTTTCAAACAGTTTCATAGATTAAACACTTTGAACATGAACTCCGTTTGCAATTACTTTCAATCCAAAGCATTCAATGATAGTAACTGTGGTTTATCACTCCCTCCACGTTATCCGCAGTTGTCATCTTACTCAGTGCGGCATTTAACTCTCCGACATGCTTCTCTACCAAGAATCTACGACCTCTCATCTCAGCTGGAACCAGGTAGACATGATCCGATGAGTCATCCTGTGGGATTGGTTGAAATGCACTGCAAACTGAACCCCGAATTGTTCTCCTTCACTAGAACTAAATTTGCAGATGAGTGCGTCTTGCCAACTGAGTATAGCACAGAGTTGACGGGAACTCGGGGACTAGCTGATGACCTCCAAGAAAGACGAAATCCGTCGTGGGTCGTCGGAAAGTATTATTGTGAGTGGTGTTCCATTAAAAAGATCATCAAAATTGCTGCTATTATTATCGTTTTGCATTGAGATGTTGTAAAAACGAAAGTGGGAATCAGCTCGCTTCAAAACTGACGCACTGAAAAACAAACCTACGGAAGCTGGTTAGAGTAGCGAAGTGAAAATGTTCGCAGGACGAAAAAGATATTTCAAATCATCCGGGGATATTTCTCGACACATTCTGAAATTTTTCAACAAAGGACAACTTTAATGTGTTCTATAATGGGCTTAACAAAAAGGTTCACCGCTCCTATTAGTCCTCGTAAACCCAGCCTACGCTTTAAATAGTGCGACCCTTCTTGAAATCCACGCTCAGCTCCAGAGAGCTAATCAGCAATGGGTTTTTCGTACAAATTCTCAGTGAGAACGCGTCCAAGTGATGAGCGCCCTGGTCCAGCTCGACAAACCTATGCGCGTTAGTTGGTAGTGTTAGAAAAACAGGTGGATTGAGTAGATGAGTTTATCGATCAATAGATGATCTCACCAGCAGGCAGATGACAGTGTGACGAAAGAATTTTCACATAACCTGAGGCAGTTAGCCAGATAAAACAACTGCCGATTCCCCGAAGGATGTGGTGTATAAGTCCTCTCACATCTCTCTTCACGTTGATACTCAACTAGATATGCATGCAAAGGCGATTCAAAAACTGCATGCGGAAAGATATCCATCTGAAAAGTTGGTTTGCCTTCAGTCAGTTTCATTTACGGCCCACAGTATTACGCCCATGCCAGATGAACGAAGTTTGGTTTCGGGTCCTCAACAACACGTGGTACCGAATAACATGATTGTTGTTGCGAAAATTTTTAGAATGAAATTGGATTTTCCTTGACAGAACCCTGGGCAAGAAGGACATTAGGAAAAACACATCAAAACCTTCGACATTGTTCCAGCTCGAATATGAGGTGATCTTTGTGCATCACATTCGATAAAGACTGTTATAGACAATAGCTTCAATTGATGTCGAGCTAGGTCTGTCACTAACAACAAGTTACCCTGCAAATCAGTATATAACTACACTTATTTTGAAGGAAGACATCCATGCATGTCCGGATTATCAGATATTACGATGACACCTGCGCAAAAAACGCAATTCGATGGAAATAGCACCCATCCATGGGCTTTTCTACACTCAGGTTTTACCTTAAGACATTCAACTGTTTACTGGTGGAATGGCAAGCGGTTTTCCCTTTGTGTTGCCAAGTCCCTTGCACAGGTATTCAGTTGAACAACTTGTGAGAGTACACATGTAGGTGAAGAAATAAGAGGAATCAATGAAGAAGAGACCGAAATTACACTGTTAGGCAAAAATGGGCACCTCGTTTCAAGAGACCAAACCACATCTTGATCGCACAAATTGACAAGTGGTCTGATACATATAATCATTAGACGTGCTGGGATTAGCCAAGATGACTCGCACATTCCTGATGAGTATTGATCATGTGTGGATGAGGGCAAAAAAAGATAAGGCGATGGCCCGTCTATGTAGCGACTTCGGAGAGCAAATGGTTTTAATCGGAGAAGACTAACAATACTGCAGGCTGTTTGTCGCGTGTAGTTTGAAGAGCCGTAAAGTTGCACTCGAGATGAGGGAGTTTTAACATGAAGAGATATTATACAGAGGGAATAGTTTCGCAGGAAAGACCCGGTTCGGAACACAAAGAAAACAGAAGCGGAGTGCACTGGAGGCCTATATCCAAAGTTACCGATGACGGTATCACAAATGGATAATTACCGCCCAAAGGAACGTCTCGTGTGGATGGTGAGGTAATGTCATTAGCGCCGAGTGAAGTTGGTCTATGTGCAGTGATTCGTCGATTGCTTAGAGGAGATTCGCCATAGGTAGTTCGACCTGCGAAGAGTTATCTGGTTTGGAGGAATGGTTGTTTTATTCCTCAACAGAAGCAGAAGGGTGGAATGAATCAGCACCTTCTTAAAAGTACTCGAAAACCAATGACAAAGAATAGTCTCCTCTGGGAGATGATCTGTTCTGCGAGGCAACCAACAGACACTAAAAGAAAAACTTGTAGGCGTAACTTATTTTCTTCGATCAACCTTATGTTCTACTTGAGCTCAAATTGCACGATAATTGCGGAATACACTCACTTGCACTTCCAGAATATCATAAACGAAGCGTTGAATCTCCCATTAAAACCAAAATGGTGTGCAATGAGAGTATTTTGAATGAAACCTAGTTCAAGAAAAGACCAAAATTGATGTTGATAGGTGTTGTACGTTTCTTACTTCTAGTCGTCACCATCATCGTTACCGTTATCATCATTACTCTTGACAGCAACACCACAGGAGAACACTGCGCTACAACTGTGTCGACTTATTTAAATAAAGCCTGATAACAGAGAGAGAAGGTAAATGGACAGGTAGGATATATTACCAAAACACCTAAGCCTAGAAGCACGTCAATCCCGGTGGCAATCAGAGGCCGAAAGGGTGTTGTAGCTGAACAATCGCTATTATTATGGCTGGACCTCCAACACCCAGTCAGACAATCAGGATAGGAACTGACAATAGGAACGCCCCTGACGTCTGTTAGCGAACATATCGTTCAATATCCACAGCAAGGCACAGAGAGGGGCACGCGGGCCCTATTCTAGAAGACAAACAGCACCACGAGTACAGATTTGCATAGGCAACTTTGGTGTAAGTAATGAGCCTACGAGTATAAAGAGTTTGACGCTGAGAACCATAAAAAGCAAACATAAATGAGGGAAACGATACGATGAGGGATCGAACAAACGGCTTAGTTCGTAAGCACCTCATCCACATACTTAACGAACGAATACGTACAAAGAAGGCCAGACGACCACAATGAACATGTTTTCTCGCCTCATCTTTGAAACGATCGTACAATCTACAATGAATACCCTTTAACAAGAACAGGAACACCGATCGTTCGTCAATGGAGCGAAGCAGACAGCTTATAGTCTCTTCTTATACAGGTTTCGTCCAAAAATGTGTCTAAAAACGGCCCACCATCAGAGTAAAGGTTTTAAAACACAACTCAGAAGTAGAATTCACATTCACACAACTAGCCACTCGAAAGTGCAGCCCGTTCAGAGAATGGCCTCTCTATAGTGGGGTAGGGCAAGTTTTGATAAAAAACGCGAAAAGGCAAGCGAAGGCTTTGCCACACAATAGATCTAGTCCCACGCCAGAGGGCCGGTGACTGGCCTCTACACTAAGCACGATCTAGATAAGCTCCAGAGAAGAGTGTAAATGAACTGGACAGCACTAAAACGAACGAACGAAAAACAGACAACCTAGTTTGCAAGATCGCATGACAAGTCTTCTCGACAGTAGGCCGAAGATAGTCCTGACGTGACTGTATACCTGGATACGCTACCACCAACTCCTTGCTTTTAAATTAACCACCTGTGACACATAATCGGCGATATACTCGACTCGACATGGAGCGATGGAGTAATAGCATTTTACCAAAATGCTTATTAAAAAGAAAAAAATCACAAATCCGGCTAGATATGTCCGCCGCGCTAACACGCAGAAAGTTACAGGAGGTTATTATGAGCTTATTGGCGTCTGACGTTGGAGGCTTCGAGAAATTATTGAATACTACAGAGCACAACCCAAATACGTGATAATGACGTTGGTCATGAAGGAACTGCGGAACTCACTTGCGATGACGATCGTGATGACCTCTGTGCGTTAAATTCATATATGGAGATGCAATAGGATCGCAACGAAACTGTTCGGGATAGTCCAACTCGCAAGCATCATAAAAGCGACGAAAACCCAAGTGAGTTGTTTCGCCACCCTGGGACAATTCACATATCTCATCAGTGTGATCTACAGTATTTTGTGAAGAGGGGATCGAAGGAAGCTCGTATATTGGTTGGTCAGTTGCCCCGAACAGAGTATTCTGAACAACAAAAGCGTTAAACGAGGAAAGTAGCGTCAAGTTTTCAGCTACATGCACTCCATCCAATTTAGAGCGCAACAAATATTATTAACAAATGAAATAATCATTCAGAATAAATTCACTTGATCAGCTATACATCGTGTCATCATCATCGTCATCATCGACGCTTGAGAGAACATATGCAGTCGTGAACCTCCGAGGACGTAGGTGGTTCCACGTTCACCGTCCAGGGTTCTACTTCACCTGTGGGCTGCAGATGAGTGCCGGCTGGTGGCTACGACAGTCGTCGTTCGAAGTATTCATCCCATCGGTCGAGGCGTTCTTCTTTGTTCGAGAAGGTCGTTCCATTCTGGTGTTTGATAGTTTCACTCACAGGTGGTTTCCGGGGACCGGTCACACGGATCAACTGAAATAATCTCCGGGCATTACCGGCTTTTTGGGCCTCTTCCATTTCTTTGGCTTTCTGTGTCCACCATACTTCACGGTCGGATCGCAAACTCACTTTCACTTGACGTCTGATAGCTCTT